AGTGCCCAGAACATAGGAACTACCCAGCAAAATAGTTGTTGAATGAATGAATGAATAACACCTGAAGGAGAAATCTATAAACTCATGGTCTGTCTTTATATACTGCTCTGTGGTGGAGACACAAATCAGCAGATAAATGGGAAAGAGGGAGCAGAAGGAACCCCCAGCAATATGAGAGCCTAGATCTCAAGATGACAACGAGTCCCCATGTAATGGGGAGCCCCCCTCCACCCCAAACCAGATAGGATCAGTTTTAATCTTTTAAAGATCTTGAACTACCTACATCTAGTAAAAGAGAAGCCTATTATGTAGGTCCTTAAACTACATTTCCAAACCACATTAAAGCTAAGGCATCTCAAGCTACGGCGAGTTTTTTAAATCTGCAACAATCATACTAAAATGAATACAAATGCAGAATACATGTCTCCAACATTTTAGCTAATTTCTCCAAGTTAACCCAGCTTCTACTGTTAGTCTATGATGGGCGCATGCCCCCCTGACCTGGAGCCAGAAGCCCTGAAGCCTCAATAGGGAGAACAATGTACTTCTGTGGAGGGGACAGGCTAAAGAGAGACTACATCCCTGTTTGCTCTCAGCAAGGCTTTATTTTATTCACAAATTGAGAGAGAAAAAAAAAAAAGCAAAAACTCTAGCTTCCAAGGCAAAACAGTATTCTACAAAGTACTTTAAAAGTAGTTTGGTGGGGGGGGGGGACTGTGTGGCTCAGTCGGTTGAGCGTCTGACTCTTGAATTTGGCTTAGGCAGTGATCTCAGGGTCCTGGCTCCATGCTCAGTGGGGAGTCTGCTTTTCTCTCTCCCCCTCCCCACCCCATCGCACTCTCTCTCTCTAAAAATAAATAAGTAAATATTTAAAAAATAATACAAATAAATTAAAATAAAAGTTTCCGGGGCACCTGGCTGGCTCAGTCGTGGAGCACACAACTCTTGATCTCAGGGTTGTGAGTTCGAGCCCCGTGATGGGTGTAGAGATTACTTAAAAATAAAAAATCTTTATAAATAAATACATACATACATACATACATAAAAGTAGTTTCTGCATTATACCAACTGAGTTACAATGTACCATCTTGGACCTTTTTAAAGAGCTACTTTCTGCATGTAGCACAAGACCTCATGGAAACCCTTACTCCTTACATCCCTGTTGGAATGTAATTGCTATCCATTCTCTGCCTAAATAGCCACTAACCCCGGCTGTGATGAGATATTCCATTAGTCCTAGGAGGGAAAGTGTACCCCTAAGTTGAGGTATGACCTGATAACGATGGCATGTTATATTCTTAGAGTATCAGTGACAACAAATCCATTTGCTGTCAAATCAGTTTAAAACTGACTCCTTTACCATGTGCTCAAACATCAAATTTTGTTCCCACATAGAAATTCTTCAAAAATCTCAAGTAACTTCATAAAAATAAGTGCTATCACCAGCGTATTTTCTTTTTTTTTTTTTAAGATTTTTTATTTATTTATTCGTCAGAGAGAAAGAGAGGGAGGGCGCACAAGCCGGGGGGAGGGGGCGCAGAGGGAGAAGCAGGCTCCCCACTGAGCAGGGAGCCCAATGCGGAACTCAGTCCCAGGACCCTGGGATCATGACCTGAGCCGAAGGCAGACGCTTCACCGACTGAGCCACCCAGGTGCCCCCAACCAGCTTATTTTCAATAGGTTGAATGCAGTTGAAAGTTTAGTACGATGTTTATAAGGGTTAATATCCTCTCCTCCAACATGTTGGCTGACTCTTCACCTTTTATTGATGCTGATGATGTCATTAAATGACGCCAGCCTCCACCATGCCCTTCATCAATTCTTATCAGAATTTTATAAATGAACATTGCATTCACCAGAGCTTTGCAGTTCATTGGGTCTGATTGCATGGCTGGCATGACAAAGCAGAAACTAAGTTCAGCTTGCTGCTTGGTAAAATAAAGGTTTTTTTCTTTTCTTTTTTCTTCTTTAAAATTTTTTTTATAATATTGGATCTGATCTCACAATTTTTTTAACATTTATATTTCATTGATGTGAAAGAGACCATGGGAGCTTATCCATCATATCATAGTAAAATAATAATTTCTAAGCCTAAATCATCAAAGTTGTGAACAGACTCCATTGATGAGCTTCATTAATTCATGCCACTTGATCTTTGTATTTTTCAAAGATAGATATTCCAATTTCATTTCGAAGAGCATTTCTATGTCTTTATAATTAAAGATTGCCAATTTTCATGCATCCAGCTTTTTTCTCTTATAGATCATAAAAAGAGACAAGCTCTGGGAAACACAATTTAAAACCCAAGCCTCAACATAAAAACAAAACTGCTACATTATACTTGCATTTTGCAGCCAGTAGGATAAGATTGTAATACTGATAGACCAGTGCAGGAAAATACTGATTCAATTTAATATAGTTGTTTAATTTGAATCAGTTGATTCAATTGAGTTCAATCATGTTTATTGAGGGCTATTATATGACAAGTGCTCTGCTAGGCATTGAAGGCATACAAATAGGAGTAAGATGCAGAGCCAGCCTTCAGAAAGAATCCACTTGGGAACAGTGAAATGCACATATGAAACCATGCATAATACAGGGAGACATGGCCTAAGGGCCAAAGGCATGCATGTGAGAAAGAGCACCAGATTTGGTTTGGGGGATCAGAAAAAGATTCGTTCACCAGGAAAGACATTTTCTGGCACGTGCAGGATCTTGTCTTACACACATACCACCCGTACGAAATTGAGTTGCCCAAGCCACCTTCACCTGTGGACCAAATTGGGGTCACATTCACCTAATTTGTTTCATTTCAATGGCTTGTGCCTCTCAGCCCAGCAGTCACTCCACCTCCCCCGCAAAGTTGCACCCTATAATTTCTGAACACCCCTTGGAAAAGTTATGAAATCTCTCTAAGCCTCAGTTTACTCATCTGTAAAACGATTTAAAAATGCCTTCATCTTTGAATGGTCATGAGGATTAAATGAGACAATATACATAAAATTCACAGAAAAACCATCATTATTTTATACTTGCATTCTACATCCCAACCAACATAACAGACTAATAATCCATTTTTGAGAAGAGTAGAGTGAAAGAGATGGGAGGCAACCCCGCCCCCACCCCCACTCCAGGCAAGCGTCACTTTAGGTCCAAAAGTTGAAGAATGACGGAGGGAAGAGAAGAGACGTAGATGAATTTCTCCTTTGTTTGGGTGTACTTCATGTAACAAAAAGTATTTTTTTTTAATTTCCTTGAGATTTTTCTAGTCTATCACACAATTATATATTTATACCTCTCCACCAAATAAAAAACAAGGAAGAATCACAGAAATGTGGCAACAGCTGGACACATAGATGGACACATGAGATAGGCTGCCAAGATTTCGCCGTGCCTATTTCCAAATATCTGTCTTCACAAGCCTTCTATCAGTAATTAGAGGCATAACTCTCAGCTAAGTAGATTCAGGTTTCTAAACACTCTCTACAATTCAAAGATAGACAAGAAAGTTATTTTCTACCGCTTTTATATCTCTATACCTGCTTGTTTCAGATTGCCTAATTTTGATGAGACTAACAGATGCATGATTTGCTGTTAAGAATAAATTGTATAACGATGAGTTTATTTAGTGAACTGTTAATCATGCCACAGAAAAGGGTCATGGTTTAAAAAATCAAACTTTAAAAAGTGTTGTGATTTTATTCATTGTGTACTTTTGTCGGAAACAAACACATTTTGTAATGCAGTTAAACATTCCTTTGTCTTTTTTTAAGATTTTTTTTTTAATTTGAGAGAGAGAGAGCAAGAGAGAGTGAGAGAGAGTGAAAGAGCAGGAGCAGGGGGGAGGGGAGAAGGGCAGAGGCAGAGGGAGAAGCAGACTCTGCTGAGCAGGGAGCTCAACGCAGGGCTCGATCCCAGAACCCTGAGATCATGACATGAGCCTGAGGCAGATACTTCACCAACTGAGCCACCCAGGAGCCCCAAACATTCCTTTGTCTTTAAACATTTTGTTTTGAGATATGTAGAACCACACGCACTTGTAAGAAATAATATAGAGATACCCTGTGTGCCCTTCACTTAGTTGCCCCCAGTGGTAACATCTTGCAAAACTATAATGCAATATCACAACCACGATATTGACACTGATGTGATCTACTGACCCTAATCAGATTTCCCCAGTTTTAAGTGTACTCATTCGTTCATGTATATGTGTCTGAGATATCTGTATTTGGTTCTGTGCAATTTTATCACATTTATGTTCATGTCTACCACTGCAGCCAAGATACAAAACGGTTCTATCACTATAAGGGTCCCTCATATTGCCCCTTATAACCACATCCTCCTCCCCCTTCCATGCCTAATCCCTAGCAACTACTAATCTGTTCCTCAGTTCTATAATTTTGTCATTTCAAGGTTACGTAAATGGAGTCGTGCCATATTTGACCATTTGGTACGGGTCACCCATCATAATTCCCTTGAGATCCCTCTGAGTTGTTGTGCCTATCAATAATTTTTACTGTATCGCTATTATAATTCATGGTATAGAAGTATTTCAATATGCTAAACTTTCGGCTGTTGAAGGACAGTTGAGTTGTTTCCAGTTCTTGCCTATGGCTAATAAAGCTGCTGTGGAACATTCTTGTACAAGTTTTTGTATGAGCCAAAGTTTTCATTTCTCTGTGACAAATGCCCAGGAGTGCAATTGCCGGGTTGGATGGTAATTGCATGCCCAGATTTATAAGAAACTGCCAAACTGTTTTCCAAAGTGACTCTGCCATTTTATATTCCCACCAGCCATGTATGAGTGATTCAGTTTTTCCACCCTTTTTTTTAAAATTATATGACCTCAGTCTGTATGGATGATAAAATTAGTAAATAAATACATGGCCCATATAAGAACAGCTTGTAAAAAGTCAGCCCAAAAAGTCCAAAGGGTAAAAAGGCAGGGGTCATATAAAAAAAAAAGCCATCTTATGCAACGGCCTCTCTGACTCGTCTCAGCTCACAGGGTAGCCAGGCAGCACAACAAAGGCTTCACGCTCCTAGAAAGCAGCCGCGGTGACCTAAAGCTTTGCTTGGTGTAGATTACAATAAATAATCTTTTCTTTCCAGAACAGGATTATGGCCTATAAAATGCTTCAAGTAGCCCTGTGTTCAACATTGCTTATAGGTAAGAATCCATTTCTTGTTTATTTATCATGTCTTTTACAATGATTAGGTTGATAGATAACCCCTTTTGACTTTTTCAAAGAAATGAACAAATATGTTTTATTCACAGATCAATTCTAGAGCATTGGGAAAACCCAACTGTCACGTCATGTGGTGGTTTTGAGCATGTTAGTGTTAATTGCGTGTGATCATTTTATTCCTAATTATGTATTCACATATTAACATGTCACTCTTGCTAGGAAGTCTAGTTAAGGGCTGCCTCCAAAGAAGTGCTCTTGTGTCCCTGAACAAAGAAAAATTTCAAATGCCTTTTAGAAACTGTAATACTTACATAGTACCATTATGTGGAGACCTCAAGGTACTTTGAGAGTGTGAATTCATTAACCTTTAGAGCAAGCTGTAGCCCAGAGAAGTGGTGTTTTAAAGACAAATCAAGGAAGGTACTGAAGGTCAGATGATTTGCTGCCAAACTGACCCAATAATTCAGTGACTTCTATCTGAATGGAACTGAGAGGTCGTTTGTTTTTCTTGTAACCAAAACTGAAAATACTTACAAAGGTGTAAATTATATTCACAGTTAAATCTCTACAATTTATAAATACTTCTGATGAAATGCTTACATAAGAATAAATTTCTACTTTTATGATCAACTTGAAACCCATGCAAAAAAATCTACATATTTTTCTTGAGGCGTGCACACACACACACACACACACACACAAATCAATAAAAGGATATAGGTATATACCTAAAATATGAATCTAGGTAAGTGTGTACATATATGTATGTGTATATAATTAGCCTTTTATTCTTAAGCATATAAATAATTTTAATAAAGAGTTTTAATCATCACTGTTATATGTTGCATTTGGGACATGTTTAAATAAATGATTTAGAAATTTATAGCCAAGTTATTATTAGGCAATTATCATCAATGCGTGTGTAATCACACCTGGTTACAGCCCACATCTCCTGATGAAGAAAGTGAGGCTGGCTCAGTTTAAGTGAGTGTCTCAGGAGCACACTGTAAATTGAAGTCATGGGCTAGTTATAATCCATCAGTCATTGCTTTGCTTTGCCTGCTGATCCATGCAGTTGGCTTTCCAGTGGGTGATGGTAGATTAGCACAAGGCGAAGAGCACTAGTGCTAGTCTACCTTCACCTGCGAACATGCAGAGTCAAAAATACCTGGGAAAAGGAAAACGTCCTGCAAAATGCCTTTTAGAGACTTTCTTAAGAAACAAGTTGGAATTAACTTTAACTCCAGCTGAGATACAAATATGTCTACCTAGAAAGACAACTGGTTTGACTGATTTCACTTAAAAAATAAAGAAATAAGATTATGTGGTTAAAGTTCATGAAATAACAAGTTGAGAATTAGAAACTAAGGACAGAGGAACACTGACACGGTGGGGTTAGCCCTTCAGATCTCAGGAAAGAAGCCTTTACTGCGTATAGGCTGAGTACACTTAAGTCTTTAGAATCAGATTCATTTGTTACACAGATAATTCATTTAACTGACATTTTCTAAATCATACAGCTCTCAAGTAGGAAATCATAGCTTGAATCAACTTTCTTCCCTTCTTCTCTTCCTCCTCCCATTTTTCATTTAAGAATGTAGCCTATTCATCTGCCCTTCCCTAGAGCTCTCTACATATCATAAGAAAACAACCATCTTAAAAAGTTTGTTTTTATATTTTAAAAAAGTTTCCTCAGATTAGTTGTCTAACAAATTACTTTTTTGTCCAGAACTTAATTTGAAGTAAATAGAGAAAAGATCTCATTATCCATTTTCCTAATGGGAATGCTGAAGCCAAAAATGATGAAGAACCTTCCCCAAGTAATTACATTTATGAGCACAGTCCTCAAATCATTTTATTGATTTTCTTAAAATAGTAATTCATACACATTGGAACCGGTTCCCTGGTCAGAGAATCAGAAGTCCAAGTGTCATGATTTGATTAAAAAACAAAACAAAACCCCTCTCTTCAGCATTTAGGTCAAGAACTGCCTTCTCCTACAATAAAGCCAGCAAATATGAATACTACTCCTTTAAGTATTCTGGGGGCAGGGGCTTTCCATATGTTACCTTAAGTCAACTCTCTAATCACTGTGCAAATAAGTATCATGATTTTTATTTTACAGGGGAATTTAGGCTTAGAGAAGCTAAGTGATTAAGCCACACAGTTAATCCATGGTGGATGCTGGATTCACATGCAAATTCTACATCCAGCTCTTCTGAGAATGAAACCCTTCTTTCTGTTATGCAGACTGTCCCCTCTGGCACTGCCATGCTGGATATGGGACATGTAGCTACGGAATAGGCAAAGGAGCACAGAGCAAGGCCTCCTCCTGAGAAAGGAATAAGGCCAATATCACAGCCCTTGGTTCTACAAGAACAGGCCAGGAGTTAGGGAGCTGGATGATTTTATGTGAGTAAACAGAGCCAAACTAAGAAATAACCAGAGACTTTCTATGACAGTTTCTAGTTGTGGTGAGGGTAGAGAGAGGTTCTAAACTCATCTATTCTGGCTCCAAAAGGCACTCATCAAAATCAAACAGCCCCATTTCACACAAAGAAGAAATATGGAAAATACACGCATTTGGGACGTATTTTGCAAAGTAAATAAACCAGTCCTTGAAGTTGACCCATATATGGGACAATTTGGAGGTTCATGCCCATATTGTTAACCTGTGATCAGATCACATGAAGTCCAAGTATGTCTTCTGGTTTTAGACAGGGGAAGAGAACTGCCTTTAGCCCATTTCTCTAGCATTGTTCCAGCTCATACTTTTGACTCCATGCCTAGTAACCAAGAGCAATTTGTCTTGAAGGTTTTTGTTTGCTTGGTTGGTTGGTTTGGGTTGGGTTTTTTAGATGAGAGCCTTTAAGCTCATATTTTCTTCCCCTGGACCGAGGCAGCCCCTCCAGTCCCTCCATGTTTGCCTTCTGCACCATCCATAGAAGGAACGGCCCTTCTCAGTCATCCAGCTGCCCCCCACCATCCTGTTCCTTGGAGAGTCTGTATTTCTGGATATAGTTTTGGTTTATTTTATAAGAACTTGTTCTTAATTTTTTCTACTCACTTGGGCTTAAGATTGATCGATGCTCTCAAGAAAGTAAGTAGTGAGAATGAACTGGGAAATATCTAAGTTAGAGAAAAATATCAGGGCCTATGTCTAGATTCATTGAGCACTCTGGGTGTTGCAGAAAAACCATTTATTTTCCTGTCCACATGGCATCATTTGTCATGATGCTGGAGTTGGAAAACCCATCAACACACACAAGCAATGACCCAGAAGGGGTTACTATTGAATCATACAAAACACTGCCTTTCGTGAGTTACAAATTTCTCTGTCCACAAAATCAAAAGCTAATAAAAGATATGCCAGCTCCAAAATATGCCCCAGGAAAACACAGGGTGGTGCATGAGAGCATGTATGTGGGTGTATGTTAGCGTGTTGCGAGCAGGTTAAAAAAGACTGAACTTAAATTCGAGTAATACTAGTTCCTGTTTACTTTGCAAAGTACTCAACACGCCAGCAGCTGTAACATCAATAAAGCCAAAGTTCCCTGAGTTAAAAGTTCATTTATGAAAGCATTTCATTAACAGTTTAGTAAGATGACCGGGTTTGAGAGCTGGTCCCAGAGTTCAGTGTCTTTCTTTTTTCCAGTTGACTTCCATCAGCTCTCTGCCCTCTGGCCTTTTGCTTCCCTGCTCCCTTTTTCCATGGCTTTTCACCTTTTTAAACTTTTGTTTTTGTAACTTCCCTAATTTTGTCTCTGCTTCCTCTGATTTCTTTGCTTGAATTCCCCCTTCTCTTTTTTCTTCAAACCCCAAATTTCTTCTCTCATTCTCTCTCTTATTAATTTTTATCTGAGTTGCAGCAAAGAGAGAGAATCTATTCTAGTAAATATAACTCTTCTATCTTCCACCATAAATTTTTGGGTCAGTGACCAAAATTTAGAGTGGGAAGAAAAAAGTAACTATTTCATATTTTATAACAAAAATTATTTACTTAACATGGAGAATAAAATATTCAACTTTAAAGATTTTATTTATTTGAGAGCGAGCGAGAACACGAGCAGGGTGAGGGGCAAAGGGAGAAGCAGACTCCCCACTGAGCCCAACGCAGGGCTCAATCCCGGGACCCCAAGATCATGAACTGAGCCAAAGGCAGACACTTAACCAACTGAGCCACCCGGGTGCCCCTAAAATATTCAATTTTAAGAATATGAACCTAAACATGACTATTTTAATTACTCACAAAATTATAACATTTCTCCTACAGTTAGCGAGATCTTAGGAAATTTTACTGTATTGCCAAGATGTCTGTAGAGACTGTTCTCCTGACCCTCTTTTGTCCTTAATTCCTCGTGACCATTTATACTTTAGTTTAATACTTAATTTATGTGCCTGGGCAGTTATTTCATCTTTTTTCTAAAGACATAAACATTTTAAGGGAAGGAATTAAGACTCAGTCCAATAAAAATAGTGAATAATAAATGTTATTCTTTCACTGGTTATGCTGAAAGCCGAGTGCTTTGCTTTCAGCATCCCATCCCTGAGTATGTCGGAGAACTTGCGGCGGGACTGTCATGCTTATTCTCCATCTCTGGCATCTCAGGCATCAGGCAGTACTGCAGAGAGATGAGAGAGACGTATCACCAGCCTCTAAGGGAAGTAGCTAGCTGTGGCCCATCCTGTGGATTTGCCAGGCATTTCTGTGTCTTCTGCCTCTGCTAAATCCCACCACGTTTATTCACAGACGTAGAATTCCTTCCCTCACGTAACCGTCTATGAATATCCACAGAAGTCACAGTCATGGCTTTCCAGGGGTGACAAACTCCTGCTGGTGGGAGCGCCCTGTCTGTGCTGGATTTTTTTCCCCCTGTTTCTTAGGGAGGCTCTGAGACAACAGACCTGTTGGATTCTCTGCACCACCTTCTGACACATAGAACTCTCACCCCCCTTCTTGGCCCGCTTTTGATCAAGTTGA